AATCCAGGACTCTGCTGAAAAAACACTGGAACGATGTCTTTCTTTGAATTTTTTCCACCCTCCATAAATCACTGAAAAACCATAGTCAGGGATTAAGAATTGGCTCCATCCAGCCAGGTCCTGTCATCCCCACTAACTCATAGACCCAAGATCACTTGGGCTGAGGCAGGTTAGTATATCTACAGGTCTCTTCTGCCCATCTCTGTCCTCCCTGCTCTAAGTCTCTTTCATTTCGCACTTCTCAGAACTTCACTGGATTTCCAAGCCTCAACCAGATCTTTTTGCATCTCACCCAGCCCATGGGAGTCACATCCCTTTAGATCCTGATGCCCTAAGACATGGACATTCACACTGTCCACTCTGCTGAAGAGAGGCCCAGGTAACTTAACTGACTCTTGCATCTTCAGAGCAGACTCAGATCTCCAGCCTCCTAACGGTCTTTGCAGTGCATCTGCAGACTGCCTCTGGGTATGGTGTGTGTGTGTGTGTGTGTGTGTGTGTGTGTGTGTGTGTGTGTACCAGGAGAGCCTCACTGTTGGTCCAGCTTGCTCTGTCTGAATGCTGTGAACTTTCTGAGGAAAGAAAGTGGAGCAGGCTTGAACCCTCTGCAAGGAGAGCGTAGCTGGGCTCCAGAGAAGGGAAGGAACACTGATTGGGTGTCAAATTTATATCCCCTTGAACTCACAGCAGCCCTGTGAGAGAGAGACTGTTACCATCCCCTGTATAGACAAGAAAAAGGAAGTCAGAGCTGAAACAGGTCAAGGTCACAGCCTAGGGTTTTACAGCCTAAGATCTTGCTCACAGGACAGTAGAGGCCCCAGGTACTGTTGCAACTACTAAGTGGGGCTTCTAAAGAGATGTCATGAAAATAGGCATAGGAAGTGAGTGGGGGATACAAAAAGATTTGGAAGGAAGTCTTGGAAGGGCACAGATGGGGAGAAGAAAAATGAGGATGATTCAGACTTCACATATCACTTATATGCCAGGATGAGCATGAAATGCCCACCCTGCACTCATAACCAAGCTGGAGCCCCGCCCACATCACACCATCACTCTTACCTGGCTATCCCTCCTCCTCACTTATCACCTATGCCTTTTTCTGGGGTTGCGAAGGCTCTGTGTGTTCTTCTCTGGGCTCCACATAGATATCCATTTGTAGTCATCCCTTCCCCCGATGCCTTTTATTTTGTTATTATTCATTTATGTTAGGTTTTTTTGAGACAAGATCTTACTAAGTGGCCCAGGCCAGGCTTCAGCTCAAGATCATCTTGCCTCAGATTCCCTAGTGCTGGAATTACAGGTGTGCCACCACACCCAGCTAAGACAGTACCTCTTTCTTTCTCTCTCTCTCTTTCTCTCTGTCTTTTTTGAGACAGCGTCTTCCTATAGCACCAGTTGGCTTGGTACTCACTATGTAGACCAGACTGGACTTGATTTCACAGAGATTCACCTGTCTCTGCCTCCCAAGTGCTGGGATTAAGGCATGTGCCACCAAACCGGGATAGTGCCTCTATTTTTAAAAATTACCATTATTGCTGTGAGTTCAAGGCCAGCCTGGTCTACATAGTGAGTTCCAGGCTAGCTAGGGCTACAGGGAGACCTTGTCTCAAAAAGATTAAAAAAAAATACCATTAGTACTGGGATTTGAGCCCAGAGCCTTGTGCATGCTGTGCAAGGGCTCTGCCACTGAGCTATATCCTCAGCCTTTTGTATTATTTGTATTTTTAGATAAAATCTTGCTAAGTTGCCCAGACTGGCTTGGACTCCCTACACAGACCAGGCATGCCTTAAGCTTTCAATCCTTATGCTGGGGATTTTAGGCATGAGCCACCACACTTTGCAAAGATAATGCCTTTAAAGGGTGATTGCAGAATTTTGAATACAACTCCTTGTCAGGGATGGAGTGATTGACAGTCTTGGGGTAGGGGGCTGGCCTTACATTGTTTACACAGTCACCTGTCCTCTGTGAAGCTGTGCTGGGGCAGAATAAGGCTTCTGTCCTCTGTCCCAGCCAATGTTGTCTTGACATGTGGCAGTTCCTCTGAATTTCTCTCTGCTGATGGACAAAGATCTGCATGAGAACAGGGACTGAGCCTAAGGATACAGCATTGTTGGCATACAGCAGGAGCTCCATAGACGCCTGTTCAATGGGCAAATAATGGTGATCATCTCTACTATTTTTGAGTCCCTGTTGTGAGTTCAGCCCTTAGTAAACATAATCCTAGATATATGCCACAACCACAGGAGATTGAGTTTAGTGTCTTTGTTCTACAGATTGCAAAATTGGGCTCAGAAAAGTTATTTGCCTGAGATCACACAGTAATACAGGGGAAGTGCTGGGAATGAAGGCACGCCTCAGAAGCTCCAGGGCCTATTCAGCCTATCACACCCGTGCTGCCAGCCTTACTTCTCTTCTAGCGCAAACAGACACATACTTCTCTGACTATCTTCAAATCAGGTCTTCCTCTCCTCCTTACTGGGGCTGTCACAGCCTAAGACTATATCACTTTTCACTAGAATTAACCTCCAAATTGGGATTCCAGCTCCAGATTTGCCCCCTCTAACAGCCCTCCACTCAGTTGCTGGAGGGAGTGGTCTAAATCACGGACTTGGTGAGAGCTCTTCCTGAGATGCTCCATACTGCCCGTGTTATCTTGGCTCTTAGCCACACTGTTATCAAAGGGTCTTGCTTGGGCACATGCTGTTCTCTGCAGTCAATCCTATTCCCAATCCTCCATTCTGGCCTCTACATTCTCGCCCTGCGTTCTGCATACAGTATCACACTGCATCACCCCTGCTGGAAAAACAGAATATTCTTTCCTCCCTCCTGACTCACCCAGAGCAGAGTGACTACCCCTGGATGGCCCACCACTGAACTCTGTGCTACAGTGGTGCAGCAGCAGGCAGTACTGAAGCTCAATCCCCATCCTGTGGTGGTATTGCAGGTGGTAGAATCCTTAAGGGGCAGGGTCTGGTGGTCACTGGGAGCATGTCTCTGATGGGATGGTGGGACTCTAGCCCTGTCCTTATCTCCATGGCTTTTGAGCTATGAGGTGAATGGCTTTGATCTGCTACTGGCTCCCAACCATGATGTCCTGTGCTGCTATTGACCTAAAAGCAACAGAGCCAGTTGATTATGAACTGGGATCTTCAGAACCATGAGCTCAAATCAGCTGTTCTCGTTGTAAATTGATTTATCTCAGGTATTTGTTATACCAACAGAAAGATGGCATGAACATCCTGTTTATTTCTCTTCCTCACAAGCTCCAGGAGGACAGGACCTGAGTTTTAGTCATTTTCTGTGGTATTGCTTAACATGCAAGAAAGATTCAGAAACTGATTGTTGAGACCTCTTGCCTTTACCCTCTGACTCTTTGAAACTCTACCCTTTGGCCTCAGCCTCTCTAATCCTCTAGATACTTAACCATAGTCTACTTCACCCTCCCACCCGCAACCCTGGCCTTGACATGGCCTCCCTACTCACTAGTATTTTTTTTTTTTTTGTTTTTTTGAGACAGGGTCTCCCTGGCCCCACCTGTGACCTACAACTCACCATATACCATGCTGGCCTCAAACTCGAGAGATCCACCTGCCTCTGCCTCCCAAGAGCTAAGGGAATCCAGGGGCCTGTCTTTTTGAGACAGGGTCTCCCTGTAGCCCCAGCTGTCCTGGAACTCACTATGTAGACCAGGCTGGCCTCGAACTCACAAAGATCCGCCAGCCTCTGCCTCCCAAGTGCTAGGATCTCACTTATGTAGCCCTTGGTTGGCCTGGAACTCATTATGGAGACCAGGCTGGTCTTGAAACTTGCAGCGATCCTTCTGCCTCTGAGTCCTGCGTGCTGAGGTTATAGGCCTGTGCCACCATGCCTAGCTCTGGTATTCTTATTGCACCCATAGATTATAGAGCAAGGCAAGTTGCTTCCTCTGCCCAAAGTCCAGAGGCTCTGGCTGCAACCGTTCTTTGCAACCCTTTAACGTGTGTCAGTTACAGTTTTATAAGGTGTTCAGGCCCAGAAAATCTGTATGCCCTGGTAGAGAAAACAGGTAGCAATGAGTTGGGAGGCCCCCTGTGGGATGCCCACCACCTATAGGTCACTGTCATGCTTTGGTCTTGGGTCTTTTCTCCTGTCTCCAGCTGAGGGTGCCACCTCAGGTCCATGTCTTCTCAATATCACGCTCTTCCTAAGCCAAGAGTTTGATATGAAGTTGTAGAGGCCATATACTCTGGTGAGAGAGAGGCCCCAAGCCTCCTTGAGTTGCTCCTCTCAGAGCTGAGGAACAGGAAGCAGGCCTAGGAAGGCCCCACATGGGAATACTGCCCTTCAAGACGCCTCAGCTTTGGAGATTTTGCTTTTTGACCCCTGAAGTTACATGGTATAGGTAGAATGGTCATTGGCCTTGGTTCTGAACAGGACTCATTACAAACTCCTTGCAGAACTTTGGGTTCCTTTGGCTGCCTTTCTGGGCCTCAGTTTCCCATTGTGCAAAATGAGAGCTGAACTAGCACTAGCTATTGTGCAAAGCTTATTAGATGACTTGGGTGACCAAAAAGACCAAATTGAGTTCCCCTTCATGGTGGTAGTGGGATGCTGGCTGGGGAGGAGCTCTTCCTCCAGGCCTGGAGTGGCAGAGCTAGGGGTGGGAGGTACTGGAGTAACTGACAATCTCATACTGCCAAGCGCAGAAAGGAGAAACTGGCCAACACCCTATGCGTGCACATTATCTCCTAGGTGCTAGGCGCTGGGGTCCAGGTTGGGACTCAGCAGGCTGGGCAGGGGCAGAGACCTATCCTGGTATGGTCCAGGCCACAGGCCCTCACCCTATATTCAGGGCCAGCCCAAGGAGGGAACAGGAAGAAGCGCCGTCCCTAGTTCCCAGAGTGGGAGAAAGGGGTGGACTCCTGGACCGGGAGCGCTGGGGATTGGCAGCCGCTGTGGGCCGGGCTGTCTGGACGAGGGAGGAGTCAATGTGTACACGTGAAAAACTCCGGCCCCGCCAGGCTTTTGCCTTCCTCCTCCTACACCTCCTCCTCCTCTCACTTCCTTGCACCCTTCCCTTCTCCCTCCTTCTGCAGCTCAGGTTGCAGCTTCTTTAGCGAGCCGCTCACCTTTCCACAGCAGGGACGCGCTCGGTCCGGTGTAGGAACCCCGGGGAGTGCTGGACAGGGTACCCTGCCTAGCAGCGCGACCGCGGAGGGTGGGAACCCGCGCGCCGCGACCAGGACACGCGCGGAGTCGGCCGCCCGGGTGAGGGCGGCGGGCGGCGACCCCGGGGCACCGCGCCGGCCAGCGGAGCAAAGGTAAGCTGGGCGGCCCTTAAAGGGGCCGGTCTGTCTTTGCTCTGGGGCGAGAGGTCGGAGCGAAATTCTGGAGCTGCCATGGGCGATGGGCGTTCACCAGGCGCTCTTGTGTTTTGGGGGATGGAGGATGCCCGGGGGAAGGGCCACTCCCAAGTTCCAGGTGCTGAGGAGGGAGGACTGCCTGGCAGTCGCGGAACGCGTGCCCCGCGGGGACTGTCCATCTGGGAGTCCCTTTGGCCCCAGGATCCGTCGGAGCCCTATAAAGCAAAGTTCCTACCCAGGCAGAAGCCAGGCGCTAAGTGCCTTCTTTCTGGGAAGGACAAGGGTCAGGAGTTCAGGGTGACGAAGGGACCCGAGAATGTATAGTACTAGATCGCCTCCCTGAAGGGCTTTCTGAGCTTTAGTGAACTTTCCAGATCCGAAGGCCAGGATGGTAGGCCAGACACCTGGGGAGACCGGGAAGGACTGTGAAACCCGCAGGTACCAGCGTTGGCTGCCTGTCAGTGTGTCTCTTTGCTAGTAGCCTCTTGGTGAAGTCCAGAGAGGCGGTGACCCCTCCCCTCCTTCATCAGCAATGGACAGCAGTTGATGCACTGTGGATAATGAGCGTGGGCAGCCTGGGCTCAGAAAATGTGACTTGACTTTGCCATGTTTGGAGGAGATAACTGGAACTCAAATGGGACTAGGGTGGTCCAGAGGCCCTGTTTCACCCTTTTGGCAAGCAGGCCCTGGAGTCTGCAGGGCTTGTGGTAGTTTTTCTGTACTGAGGGGTCAGAGCCTTCTAGGCCCCAATGGCCTCATTTACTTCTCTCTAGGCCCTGCTCAGCAGCTAGGGTAGAATTGAGAGAGAGAGGTCAAGTCCTCAGAACCTCCTGGGCTCTGGTTGCTGCTATCTCCCCACCCCCAGCCCAGACCTCAGAAACCTTTCCTAGCCTTCCCAGCTGTGGCTTGTGGCCTGGGCCCTGTGGCTCACAAACTCTACTAGCCAGCAGCTACCAGCTGCCTGCAATTGGACTAGCCCCCACCATGTCAACTCCATGTGAGATTCCACATGGGGGTGTAGCACATTCTTAGACACAGCCTGGGGGAGCTGTGTTCACTTCCCAGAGAGAGAACCCCTGCCTGTGCTCATCATGCCTTTCCCCTGAGAAGGTATTTTCTGGGCTTGGGTCTGCTTCTTGAAAGCCCTAGAGAGACGGTTCTTTTGTCCCAGCCACACTTCTGTCCCCAACCCCTGCTGTATATCAAGCAAGGAGTCTCACTAATCTCATTAAATAGATGTTATTGTCCTCATTTTACAGGCCAGGAAACATACTGAGATGCATGCTTACAAGGTAGGGTAGAAGTATCATCCAAACCACTTCTCTCTAGCTCCAAACCTGCTTTCAACTCCTGTTCCACCTGAGCAGGACCCAGCCCATGCTAGAAAGAAGGATGGGGGTGGTGCTCCAACTAATCAGGCTCCCCCTGTCCTGTGCCAGGCAGAGCCAGGCAGAGCCAGAGGGACCAGATCTGAGAAGCAAGTAGGTTCCTGGTCTTGGATCTTGCAGGGTGGGGAGACCTGCCCTGGGGTCTGGAGGGCTGTGTTTTCCTCCAGACTGCGTGTCCTCTGCTGGTTGCTTTGCCTGCTCTCTAGGTAAGAGGCCCCACTCATTAGGGTAGAGCTTGACTTGGATCTTCTGGCTCCTCTCCTACTCCAGCATCCTCCTCCTCTGATTCCTTTCCTTCCCTAACTGAGCTTGAGACCTGAAAGGGAGGGAGGGTGGCCAAATCTAAGCCCTTTTGGGAATCTGGGTTCTGCTCATACTGTCTGTGGCTCCCTACCCTCAGCAGACTCCTCAACTTCCTCAGCTTTCTGTGTGAAGAGGGGCTCATAACAGGAAGGATTGTTACTTGAATTATATGAAATAACACGTGGAGACTGAGTAACTGATGATGGTGATGTGATCATCAGTCCATGTGATGATAAGGATTGAGAAAAGGAATTTCCCAGTGATGCTCCAAGGCTGGCTCTGGTGTAGAGACCATGAAACCCTAATAATCAGGCCAAGGCTAGAAGCTAGACACAACCTGCCCCTTTGGGTTAGGGAGGAGGGCTCTTTGTAAGAGAATGAGGGAGCTGGATGGAAACCTGCCATCCAGTGCTGAAGGACTGTAGCCCTTTGGCAATGCCCTGCCCCCTACCCGCTGCTGGAGCAAGAGGACCCTTTCCTGGTACTTAATTATTCGCAGTCCCTGTTCTGCTCTGCTGTCCATGAGGGACTGGTTGGCTGGGCTCCAGACCTACCTGCTTAGCTTTACTCCTTTGGGAATAAGCCACATTTCTTTCCCTGGGCTATGTGTCCTGCAGTGACCTTTGTGTCCCCTGCCCTGGACCCTTCACCTTCACCCTCCAGTCATTTGCTGCTGAGCAGGCACTTTCCCATCTTAGAGGGTGGGAACACACCAAGGTTAGTCCTGGCCCTTACAGTTGCATGTGCACAATTGCGCGCACGTCTATACACACACACTCACTCACCAGCTCTCGGGTGCCCCAGGGCCCAGGATCACTAAAGGACTGGTGACCAGGCCTGGCAGGAACTGGCCCATGCACAGCAGTAGGTGGAAGAAGGTTGTGGGTGCATTTCAGCCAGATCCCTCCTGACTGCAGAAGCCATCTGCTCCTGGTGTTCCCAAGGCTGTGTCTACAGAGGAGGTGGAATTGGGAAGCAATTCTGAGGTTTGGTGTTGAACTGAAAAGGGCTGAGAAACTCCCTGACAGCAAGTGGGACCCTGGTGATTCTGCTCTGGGAGACATTGCCCCAAACTATTGAAAAGACCATTTTGTTACAGATGTGGGCTTGTGTGTGTGTGTGTGTGTGTGTGTGTGTGTGTGTGTGTGTGTATTGATGTCAGATGCCTTCCTCTATTGCTCTCTACCTTATGTTTTTTGAGACAGAGTCTTTCACTGACTGAGCCTGGAGTTTATCCCTTTGATCAGTCTGGCTGGCCAGCCACCCACCTATGGATCCACCTGTCTCTGCTACTTACAGATGTGGGCTTCAGTGTTTGGCTTGGATGCTGGAGATCCAAGCTTGTGTTATCATGCTTGCCCTGCAAGTACTTTATCCACTGATCTGGACCCTTTCTTGAGACTCTCAATAATGTCCCACCCTGACACACCCCTCCTTCTATTAGCTGAAGTCTTCCCTGGAAACAGATGGAGTGGAAAGAATGGCCCATAAGAGGCCAGTTGATTTGTTCATTCACTATTTACATGTGTGAGTTTGTCTCCTGCCTGCCACTGGCAGAGGCTGCAGGTTAGTATAATCCTGCCCTTGCCACTCAATAGCTGTTGCCTTCAGGTAAGTCATTTGCTCCCTGCAGGCTTCAGCCACCCATCTTTAAAACAGACAGGATGACAGTGTTGCTTCGTGTGGTTTTGAGGATTCAATGAGGTCATGTCTTCTATATGCCTAGTTTCTTGCCTTACCCAATGTTATGATTGAGAGGTGATGGTACATGGACTTATTGGGCCACCTTTAGCTTGCACTTGAATCTCTTCTAGAGGGAAGATCCCCATAGTGTGGGCACTAGGGCTCAGGCCCCAAAGTGGGAAGAGAATTCTCTTACGATATTTCTTTCCTCACTTAGTATATCTGCTCTGTCTTATTATCACAGGGAATTCTGGGAAAGTTCCAGAATCATTTCTGTTTCCATGTTTTGTGTCACTAAAGAAGCATGCCCTCTTCTGCCTGGGGAGGCCCTTCAGGAACCAAGCCTTCTCTCCCCTGGTTCCAGACATCCAGCAAAGGAAATTCTTGTAGGGTATCCATGCCTAGGGGACATGGCTGTCCCTCCCATGTGCTGGTGGGATTCACTGCCTGGAAACAGGTGTGTGGTAGGTGCCATGCTGGTAGGCAAGATCTACAGATTAGGTGAGGCCAGGCAAGTGCTCACAAAGTCCCTCTCTGATCATGACTTTGAGCTTAGCTGACAGATCCTCCACCATGTTTGCTCTGGGTGCCACATTCTGAGCTAATGCCAGATTTGATGAGGCTCTTTTTCCAGGCAAGACAGACGGAGGGGCTGCTGACTTCCTTGGTATGGTACCCAGTAGTCCTGGGGAACAAAAAGGACATTGAATTCTAAATCACAAGCTCACTTCTGGGCTCAGATCTGCCCTGCCATTCTGAAAAACCTTGGGCAGACCACTGTCCTTTCTAAGTCTTGTATCTTTGCCTGAAAAGAAGAACAGACCAGGGATTTCTAAAGCCCATAAAGCCTGTTGTTTTATGGCTCTAGCTTTTGCTGGTCAGCTATGCCCTGAGGCCCTAGGATGATCTTAGCCCTTCTTCCTCCAAACTTCAGAGCCTGGGGCTTCCCTCCACTGCTGTCTGTCTGGATACCCAGTCCTTTTCATGGCTTATAGGGACAAGGAAAGGAGAAAGCCTCATTCTGTCAGGAGGAGAAAAATATTACCAAAGAAAAGGATGAAGGATTTAGTTGCTACACAGATACTCGATATGTAAGCAGGGGCTGCAGGCTACAGTTGTTTTCAAATCCTAGCTACTTTTGAGTGGTCCATGAACTAAGGATGGTTTTGTTTGTTTTATTTTGACCTCTTTTTAAAAAAATATATATTTATTTATTATTTTTATTTTATGTGCATGAGTGTATTGCCTGCATGTATGTGAGTGCACCCGTGTTGTGCAATGCTGTTAAGGTCAGAAGAGGGTTTCAGATTCCCCTGGAACTGGAGTTGAGGACGGTTCGTAGCTGCCATGTAGGTGCTGGGAATTGAATCCGGGTCCTCTACAAGAGCAGTCAGTGCTCTTGACTGCTGAGCCATCTCTCCAGACCCTTGACCTCTTTTTTAAAATTGTGAAATGAGGTGTTGTGCCCCCCATGCTGTCCTGGAGCTCACTTACTGTTCATGTGGTCCTGGGGATTGAACCAGGGCTTCATGCGTTCTAGGCAAACACTCTGCCAACTGAGCTATATCTCCAGCCATGTTTTGC